GGATCTTTATTTGTCTATTTTTTTATATGTGGTGCTGAGAATCGAACCCAGTGACTCACACATGCTAGGCAAGTGTTCTGCCACTGAGCCACAACCCCAGCCCTTTTTCTTTTTTCTTTTTTTCTTTTTTTTTTTTTTTTGAGAGAGGAGGGGGAAGAGAGAATTTTTTAATATTTATTTTAGTTTTCGGTGGACACAATATCTTTATTTTATGTGGTTCTGAGGATTGAACCCAGCGCCCCAAACATGCCAGGTGAGTGCGCTACTGCTTGAGCCACATCCCCAGCCCCATTGAGGAATTTTTCTAAATGAAAGAAGCCAGACACAGGATAAGTGACATGATTCCATTTACATGAGTCCAATTCTTAGGATGACCATCTGATCCAACTGTCCCACTTCTGAGGTTACTGGGGCTGGGGGAGGAGGGGAACCTGTGAAGTTCAGCTTGGGTAGTGCCAGGCTGGGGGTGGCTAGTCTTTGACCATGTGAAGGTAATTACTTCTGCGCCCTGAGTAGCTCTCTGAAGAAATGGGAACGATGGTGAATTTTTTGTCACATTTTATCACTAAAAAAAGTGAAGAAATGGCTACAATCTCACCACCCAGATCACCTGCTAACGCATCCTAATTTTTGTGAAATGCAGCATGTCTGTGTCATATGTTCTATAAAAACCCACCTGGTCACAAAGACGCAGAGACTGGTGAGAGTCACAGGAACACGTGCTTCCCATGTCCTCCCTGGAGTGGGCTGGGCTCTGGCTTCTCTGGGAAAACAGCCTGTGCTCTTGCCCCGCTGGTCACATGGCAGCTCTCTGCGTGAGAGATGTTTGTTGTGACCGAGCTTTGGGGTCCCATCTGTGGGTGGGATCATTGCTGTAGCCCCTCTGCTACTGCCAGACACTCGTTTCCAGTCTGGCTTGTGATTGTCACGGGCTGTGCTGTTAGGGACGTTTTGACATGGTTTTCCCAGGCTATGCAGAGGTCACGTTCCTTGCTGGGACATTCCTGTCTTGTGTGTGGGAGGTGCTTGTGGGTGCTGTCGCACCACTCTACAGTGACAGGTGTGAGCGACGCCCCCAGGTGTGCTCCAGCTCTGAGCTGGTCTCCTGAGCTGCACTGGGGCCATGCCCCACCCTTTTGCCTAATTGTCACCCTCTGCCTCAGCTGGAGCGCAGTGGCCCTTCACACCATGAACAAGCTGAGGGACCATGGGCTGTTTTCGTTTGTCCGGGGTCTCTGGCCCTGAGCTGTTAGGGTTTGGATATGAGATGTCCCCCCAGAAACTCACGAATTCACTGGGCTACGCAGCCACGTCCAGAGGGGAGAAGGTTAGATCTGAGAAGGTGGATTAACGTGGGGCTGTGGCTGTGGGCAGTGGGGTGGCCCTGGAGCTCTTGTCCCCGACTGCTCTGCTCTCCCTCCATCTCCCGGCTCCGGCTGCCCCTTTCTGCCACAATGTTCTGCCTCCCTTGGGCCCAAGCCATGGAGGTGGCTGAGGATGAAGGGGACCTCTGCTTTCCAACAGCCACCTCTAAATGGCTCTTCTCAGGATTGTGGTCATGGTGACAGTGTCAGGCTGGCCGTGCTCTCTGTCTCTGCACTGGGCCCTTCCTCGGCTCGCGGGCTCCAGGGCCGCCGGGTGTCTGGCTCCGGTGGTCTGACTCAGGCCTCTGGCCGCCTGGCACTGGGGCCTGTTTAGAGCCGGCCTCCGGCGGCCTCCCTATGCTCCCGCCCTTCTCCTTCTTTGGGCAAATTCCCATCAGGATTCAGCGGGCAGGAGGGCCTTTCCTGGGCCTTCCAGGGGCGGTTGTCCCCGCAAGCCCTGACTCGGCCAGGCCACCCCCCCTTCAGCAGCCTCCCCTCGGCCATCCGACAGGGGACCGACCGGACCTGCCCGTGGGCTTGGGCGAAGCCTTACCCCGGGGAGTGAAGCCCTCCAAGGCCTGGGCGCTTTGGGTTCAGGAGTTATTCTCAGGACAGGGCCAGAGGCTGTGCTGGGGGCCAGAGTGGTCGCCCTGCTGCTGTCTGCCAGGAGGGAGAGACAGCCTCGGGACCTCACTGGACAGCTCCTGGGCCTCCCTGTCCCTTGTCCCACCGGCCATTGCACTTTTGCTTTGCTGGGTGCCTGGGCCACATCAGTGGCTGTCCTCTCCTCGCACCCCTCTGTTTGGCACTGATTGCTCAGGGGGTTCTTGGGGGATTGTCAGCTGTTTTCCTGGTGGCCATGCAGGGTCGTGTTGGGGAGGCGGCCACAGCGGGGCTGTGCTCTTCAGACCCCAGGCGTCTGCTCGGACGACAGCTGGGTGCTGCCCGCCTGTCTCCACTGTGAAGCCGCTTCTCCCCGTCCACACTGCATGTGCTTTTTGGGAGGAAGACACTGCACAGCCATAAGGGCGGGTTAGTGCCTCCTTGAGGGCGGTGGGAGTGACCGACCTCGGTGGCTCCCTCTGTTTCCCCAGGGCGCTTGCAGTCAGGGCTGAGCTCCAAAGGGCTTTCTTTTGCGGCCAGGTGGTTCCACCTTTGGCTCTCAGGAGCTTTCTTGGTTGGCTCCCAGGTCCCTCTGGAGTGGCCCCAGGGCAGCACTACAGTGTTCCCAGGGCACGGTTGTGTTGCTCCTGGAATCCGAGCTTCTCACTGGAGAACGGTGGTGTCCTCGGACTCAGGGGGAACCAGGAGAGCCCGAGGGTCCATCCTGCAGACATGCACCTGGGGACGTTTTTGTGTTCCCCCCTCCCAGTTATGGGGATTGAACTTGGGTGCTTCAGTACTTATCCATTTTATTTTTAGAAAGGATCTAAGTTGCTGAGGCTGGCATCAAACTTGCCATCCTTCTGCCTCAGCCTCCCCAGTAACTGGGATTGCAGGTGTGGCCCCTGCACAGAGAGCTGACCCACTGTCATGGAGAGCTGCTCACTTACCTCTCCTGCTGTTGCTGATCTCCCTCTGCAAATGCTGTGCTGTGTGGCCCAGATGAGTCCGTGCCTAATACCCGGCTATTCTCTACAGTGGCTGTCACTGTTCAGTCCCAGCAGCCACCTCAGGATGCTGTATGCACCATGGCCTTGGTACTAGCAGACCTGAATTTTTCAGTCGATGGGCAACTATCTTGTGACTTTTGACTGTGGAGTAGAACATCATTCCACACCTATAAGCTAGCCAAGTGTTCCCTTAGGCCATCTAACTACTTCTCTTTTGAGGGTTTAGTCTTTTCTTATATGCACCATTACCTTTCCCACTCACACTGAGGCATCAGCTCCTCTGAGTTTCTAGGATATTTCCATTTATCCAACAGAACCCTTGGTTGCTTTTATTCATTTTTGAGACATTTATCTCTAGAATGGTGGTTGGACACTTCCAAATGTTTCAGTGTTTTTCATTTTAAAATGTGGTGCTAGGGATTGAACCCAGTGCCTCATACATGCCAGGCAAGCACTTTACCACTGAGTCACAACCCCAACCCCAGGTTGTTCTAATAAATGATAATTATGAATGTCAAATTTTATCAAATGTTTTCCTTTATCAGTACACCTGCAAGAATTATATGTATATGGGGCTGGGGATGTGGCTCAAGCGGTAGCGCGCTCGCCTGGCATGCGTGCGGCGTGGGTTCAATCCTCAGCACCACATACAAAGATGTTGTGTCCGTTTATAACTAAAAAATAAATATTAAAATTCTCTCTCTCTTATATGTATACATTTTTAATTTATGTCCTTATGTCCTTTTGTGGGGCAGGGGCGGGAGTACTAGGGATTTAACCCAGGGCTTCACATATGCTGGGCAAGTTCTCTACCACTGAGCTATGCCCCCAACCCCTCCTTTTTTTTTTAAAAAAAAATTTTTTAGTTTTCGGCGGACACATCTTTATTTGTATATGGTGCTGAGGATCGAACCCGGGCCGCACGCATGCCAGGCGAGTGCACTACCGCTTGAGCCACATCCCCAGCCCACCCCCAACCCTTTTTGAGACAGGGTTTCCTTATACACAGGCTGGCCTCAAAACTTGAGATTCTTCAGCCTCAGCCTCCTGAATAGCTGGGGTTATAGATGTGCACCACCATGCCTGGTCCTACTATTTTCCAAATGATAAAAGGGAATTAGAAAGAGCCCTACCCCAAACCCCCCTGGCATATAAGCACTAATTATTTTATTTTTTTCTGGTGCTGGAGATTGAACCCAGGGCCTTCTGCATGCAAGGCAAGCACTCTACCAACTGAGCTAATACCCCTGGCTCCAACTAATTATTAAATTGATGAATTCCAATAGCATTTCTGGTCACACTTTGTCTCTAGATTTCTAGTCAGTCAACAGGAGGTAATGTGACATCTCACATTTTGCATTTGGTGGCTCCAGTCTGCAGACTTTTCCAGGTGGCTGAAATGTTGGGTCTTAGCTCTTTCTTCTTGGTACTAGGGATTGAACCCATGGGCACTTTACACTGAGCTACACACTGAGTGAGCCACATCCCCATCCCTTTTTGAGACAGGGTCTAACTAAGTTGTTTAGGTTCTCACTAAATTGCTGAGGCTCACCTTGAACTTGTCTTCCCAGTTGCTGGGATTACAGCTGCACACCATCGTGCCTGGCTCAGCTTTCACACTAGGGATTTAACCCAGGGCTTTAACATGCGTTGGAATAAACTGACGCTGAACATTTTATTAAGATAAATGCATCACAATATTTGTATTGCACCAACATCTGTCTGTCTATTGCTTCTGATTTCATTAAATAAGTTACATTTAATACAGTGTGAAACAGCTTTCTGCACACTCAAAAATAACTGAAGTGAGGCCTGTTTCTGTGAGGCACACTTGGTTTTCAGGCCCTTGTAGAGCAAGAGCCAGAGCCTGCCTCTCTCTTACAGAAATACTTCATACACATGGACCTTCTGCTCTGCTAGCCTGCCTACAAAGCCAAGTCCAAGTAGTTCCGGCCCCTGTGTCCACACAAGGCCTGGATGCCCGTCTCCGCCCTCCTACAGAACACCAATACCACACTGAGAATTTAATGTAGAATAGATTTATTTACCTGAAACCATGTCTGTGCAACGCTTGTTGTTATAGCACAGAGTGAAGCAAACTGATCTCTATTTACAGTCTAGTCAAACATGCGTTGGGATAAACTGACGCTTAGCATTTTATTAAGGTAAATGCATCACAATATTTGTATTGCACCAACATCTGTCTACTGCTTCTGATTTCATTAAATAAGTTACATTTAATACAGTGTGAAACAACTTTCTGCACACTCAAAAATAACTGAAGTTATGAACTGGAGGCCTACATTTTAACCATTCAATACCTGTAGTGTTTTTAATGAATTTATAAATAAGCAAACTGTACAGGGCCAATTAAAAAGTAGCATTTTCAAGGTCACTGTAGAGAAATCTGGCTACTTACAACTGAAGGCATGCATCATAATTTAATATTGTACATTTATATAAGCTATGACATTTTGCACAGAGAAATGTGGAGACTTGGCTGATTGCTTCTAAGTTGTTAGATAAGGTTTTCAGAACCTCACTGTTCTTGCAGCAAAGAAACCAAACTTCTCTGAAGAGGCTTTCTGATTAGGCTAAATTGTACATTTACATTATTTTGATTTAAAAGCTAAAAACCCCACTGGTAATACACATTTCCTCCACATCACACACGAGTTGGGAACTTTTTCTACTTTTCTTTTTCCCCAACATCAATCATGCAGAGGGCTGGTAGATGTGTTGCTAAAGACGCACATGCACGCAACCGAACACCCTTACATTTCTGCAAAATGGTTTAGGAAGCGGTTACTCCAGTATTGCTGAAAAGGAAAGAGAGAGGAAATCAGCTTCATGAAACATGAGGAAATGTTAGAACAACTACCTGAGAGACCTATAGTGACAACCTTATCTCCATTATTTCAAGAACAGCTTTTCTGATAAACTGTCCCCAAGGCACTGCCCACACTGGGTCACATCTAAAAGCACTGGCTCAATGACAGTGCCCTTGTGTCATCTGCCTATACAGCAAAGGACACCTGACTCAGAATGAATCCTATGAGGCAGAAACTTAAACCATGTCAGGTGTGAAAGCAGTGAGACAGGCCAGAGAAAGGTCTTGGTCAGCCATGCAGAGGTGAGGCAGATGGAGGGGGTGAGCCATGCGACAGCAACATGAGGCCTTCCCGCCCGGCCCTGCCCTCCCTCCCTCCCAAGGGTGGCCAGAGCTGGGGCCCAGCTCTGCCAGTGCTGAAATACGCTGTTGTGCCTTGGCTGCTTATCACCAGTCCCTCGGTAAAATCCCCAGACTTCCCTCCTTGTGGGCTTCAGGGTGTTGGTACTGACAAGATCTGGGTGACCATGACTTCTGGACACCATGTGCCTGGGCTATGGGCAGACACTCCTGAGGTCTGGCCACCTCCTTCAGCCACTGAAGAGGCTACTCAGGTTCCCCTGGCTCTCGACAGTTTCCTCTGGAATGGCCTGTCTGCATCTTTGAGAATGAGCAGCTGGACTGGCACCTGTTGAGGGCACCTGTGAGATGCTCATCTTTTGGGAACAGGGCCAGCAACCCACTGGTGCTCCAAAAAGAATGTAGAGTCAGGTTTTGGGCAAGAGCTGACCCCAGGAGCACGGGAGCTTACAAGGACACTGCCGTCCACTTACTACTTTCCCTTGTGAGGGTGCTGGGTGAAGACAGGGCAGGGCACCAGCAGAGACCTGAGGAGGGCATGTGCCCGTGGTCATGGTGATGCCCTGGTCTTTTTAGTTCAGCTGAGAGCCAGGAGGTGCTTGAAGCTGAAACCACAAGGCAATGGCTAGCCCAGCACAGCCTGGGGTATCTGTGGCTCCTATGGTAGCCCACACCACTCAACTTGTTTGGGTCAAGTCTGCTAAATCAAGGAAAAGTTGACTATTTGGTTGTTTGGTTTCCACTGCACAGCGTACCACCCAGCAAACTCTGTGATGTCCTGTTTGGATCTGCAGGTCAGACGCCACCCTTTCACTTGATTTACTTGAATCCTTTGTCATTCATAATGTCCAAAATGGCAAAACTTTTCCCCAACATTCTCTGGTGGGCAAACCTGCCTTGGCTCCTGAGAGTCACAGCTCCCTGTAAGCAGCTCTGAAAGCCTCTGGTGTGCCTGACGGGGACGGTGCTTTTAGAATGTCCACACAGGTGGGCCTCTGAACCCGGCACCTTCTGCTCGACACCTACACATTCTCTCAACTCCATCTGCATCACCTCTGGCCACGTCAGTGACCAGAACCCGAGGACCTTCTTGAGAGGAGTCAGGGTCTCACAGGAAGGGGAAGCTGCCACAGGCCTCCTCACTCTGGCTAATGGTCAGGCCTGCCGGACTGAGCAGAGCCGGGCCTGCAACTGCATGAACACACCCTTGGAGCTAAGACAAGCTTAGCCACAAAGGATGTGACCCAGATAGGCAAGAGAAGGTGGCCTACTTAAGACAGACCTACTGACGCCCTGTTCACTCTGTCAGTCGCCATGCTGCCAGCGTCTGCTTTCAACGAACAAGGAGCACGTTCGGGGGTAACTTCCTGCAGCTGATAAAGACCCAAAGCCCCCTCACATCTTTTTAGTTAAAATTTTAATTTCTAGATATAGGGGATTAGACCCAGTCACTCTACCACTGGGCCACATCCCCCCAGTCCTGTTTTATTTTGAGACAGGTTTTCACCAAGTTGCTGAGGCTGGCCTGGAACTTGTGATCCTCCTGCCTCCACCTCCTGAGCAGCCGGGATTACAAGTGTGTGCCACTGTGCCTGGCTCATCACACCCCATTCTGGCTGGTGCAGGCCCTCCCTGCACCTTATGGGAGCCCTGATCTAAGCAGCATGTGGCATTCATGTCACCTCTATAGTCAGCTGGTACTGCACCTAAGTCTCCTGTGCCCCTGGCAGCTCCTGTACCCGCCAGGTGGGAGCTGCCATGCAGCACACTATCGAGGACTACCTCAATAGTAGTTTGGTGGCAGTCAGTCACCTTTAGGCTAAAGCATCCAAGTTCCAGAGAAGAAAATACTCACGTTAGTTGATGGATGTTGGAAGGCATTGGAGGAAAACATCACAGTTAGGACTGTTAATGACTCATACACTGTTGGTCAGACTGATCTCGAACATGCTCAAACATTGGTCAGAGTAATGGTGGTGATTAGTGCCACATTCAAATAAAAATAGTTCTATACAATATGTTCATTTGGTCATGTGCTATTTACAGATTTTACAAAACACACACACACACACGCGCGCGCACACACACACACGCTTGCCCTATGTTCCTTAAATGAGGCCAGCAGAGACTTGCATAAAATGTATATTAGATGACAACTTGTGCCTATACATCAAAAAATAAATTCCCCAACTACCTATGCAGCAGAACAGGACCCCACTTTCCCTCAAGCATGCCAAACCGAGGTTCTGTGCTAAGAACTTCAGAGGAAGGTAGACTATCAGATAGTTCGAGGGGAACAACTTAAAGAGTTAAGAACAAGACAGTTATTTTCTGTCCATTTAAAATGTTTTATTTTTCTCTTTTGAACTAGATTGTGAAGTGCCATTGAGATCTAGGCAATGTTGGCAAAACAATGTCCGTTACAATAAAATACATTAGACATTTAAATAAATAACTTTAAAAACTATGTGAAGGGACATAAACCCAGTTGATTGAATCTGGAACAATGTTTTCTGCACAAGCGAGACAGGCATACCTCTCATGAAGACTGATGTAAACAGAACCATCAAGACCCTACAGAAGAAGCCGAGCGGGGCGGGGGATGGGGCAGGGTGGGGGTGAATGGAGAAGGTGCGGGAAGTGGCAAACCAAAAAATACTGACTGAGGTAGCAGGACTCTGCTCAGTGCAGAAAAATTGGCTTATGAATAAAAATTAGACTGATATCAAATTAAATCCAGGTAATCATGCAAAAAACACAACACATGCTATTTAGTTGGTTTTTTTTTTTTTTTTTTTAAAAACACACATTCGTTTCCTAAAGTCTGCTGCCAATTAATTTGCTGACAATGTCTGCTGGCTCAACTATTTTTATACAAGGATGAGTATTAAACAGAACACTGTACATGCTTTTTCATCTACAAAAAAATATTTGCATAAAATAGTGTTAGTTCTCTGTACATGTCAATGGACACTTTAATTATGTGTATAAAAAAAGGAAAATCTTGCCCCACTGGAGTCAGAAAAAGCAAAACAAAAATCTAGAGTATGAAACCTCCTTCACCAGCCAATATGTTCATGTGAAAATTCAGCAGAAACAGACAGTTGCTTTAAACAATAAAAAATTGATTAAGTTAAACATCTTCTGTATGTAGAGCTGTCAGTCAAGACCAGAACATATCACTAAAGTTAGTGTCTGTGCTATAGACCCAGACCACCAGGGGCATTATGAGCAGCACGAACGGCCAGGAAATCCCATCGGTGCATGCCGAGAACGAGCAGGATTTGGTGGTAGGTTGCACACACTCTTTACCAGGTTCCAGGTAGTTACGGGCCACAAACTTGAGTGTCTCATCCATGAGAATCACAGGCAAGGAGATTTTCAGCACCATCAGCCACTGGGTGAGATTCAGCGGTGTGATCTGGAAGATAAGCTGAAACGAAGCAGCCTCGTCAAACTTCAAACTTGCCAGACAGGGTGCCAGCCACCAGCCTGGGGTCCCACAATCACTTACTGGCAGGGGTTCCACATAGAGGATCAGGAAGTGGAGTGACATAGACAGGCAGATGGAGCCCACAAGCCAGATGTTCTCCCAAGGGGGCATCCTCAGCAAGGACTGGTTTTCAGACAAACTGAAGAATGAGAACAGGGAGGTGAACTCACCAAAGAGGCAAAGGTGTGTGTCAGTGGCATCCAGACACCACACCCAACTACACTTCAGTAAGGTGGATGCTACCTTGGTGTCAGCCTTTGACCTGATTCTAGGGACAAGTTTCCATTGTGGTAAAGTCAAAGAAGACAACATTCAGATGTAGGACAAACTGCCAATTTTATACCTAGGCTTAGGGACAGCAGATCCTATCTCTGCAGGCTCACAGCCGTCTTCACTGCCCTGGACTCTTGGGCTATTTAGAAATTTCCATTTTTGGCACTGGCTAATTGGATGATTTGCCTTAATGCTGAAGGGCGAGCGCTCCCCCCACCCCATGGGTGCTGGCATTCATGTCCTGATGCTATTTCTGGCCTCCTGTTTCTTTTAAAGAAGAGCTCTGAAACACGTGGCTGAGCACTCCCACTACTTCCTGGAGGTGACAACAGCTTAGGCTTTTAAAACCAGTGCTGCTTGTTCTCTTCTCTGTGGGAGGGGAGAACTTTCCTGTGATCCTCCATCGACCATGACAGAAGCCCTAGTGCCCTAGTGGTCAGAGCTCTCACTTCTGCTACTACAAATACTAACCTGTTGAGAGCATTACACATCTCTATGGTTACTAGAACAGACAGCGCCATTGTCATTGGGTACGGGGACTCAAAGATTGCACAATCCACTCCTTCAAAGTCTGGGTTGTCCTCCTTACACTGGAGGAAATGACTCTGCAAAAGTCCAATTAAATTCCAATCAGCTGGGCAGGGGATGTAGCTCAGTTGGTAGGTGCTTGCCTCGCATGCCAAGGCCCTGGGTTTGATCTCCAGCACACATCACCCACCCCCACCCCCCACAAAATCCAGCAGCCAAATCTCTCTCTAAAGTCCAGGCACCAATCCCACGCCAAGGCCAGAACAGCCAAGGGGTTCACCCTCTCCCAGAGAAGCTCTGGTCCCTCAGAATCATCTCAAATATAAACGTTTGCTTTTGAGCCTTAGGATGATTCAACACACACGCAAATCAGAGAAAGACCAAGGGCCCACACCGCCTCACATGGCAGGTACACAAAGAAAGGGGACCAAATACCAGCTGGTAGAAGGACACTCTTGGACCACCATCAGCAGCGATGAACCACCAGGCAGCAGCACCCACGGTAGCAGCGCCGACGTAACCTGGGAACACACAGGATGCTGGTACCCAGGCCGCAGCCTGCACTACTCGCTGCAGGTGATGCTGCGTGGGCCAATCCCCATGAGAACGGCAGTGAAAGACATGGATACACGTGGATACTGAGCTCTTGCCGCTCCTCTAAACTGCTTGCAGCCAGCAGCCAGAGGAGCTGGACCACAGGGTTCAGGAAGGACATGGTGTTTACTGTACAGAAGAGCTACGCAATGTTCCCTCCAGAATTTGTGGGGAAAGGTCCTCACTGAGCTCTCCAACCTCCACACTCAGTGCACCTTCTCAAGAGTGTGTGCTTTAAGTCTGTAGGCACGTCGTCTACATAAAGCCACAGCTCTGGGGAACCAGGTCAAACTGTAACTTCTGGGCAATCTGATGCTGTCTAGTAGATGACTTATTTGTCCCATTAAGGCCTAGCAGAAGCAGAACCTTTCCACGGGAACTCTCTCAGAAGAGCAGACCCCAGCACACTCTGGGGCATTCTCTTGGTACCTCTGAATTCAGGGAGTTCATTTCAAGGAAGCAACAGAACAGACTTCAGGTGAACCTCATGGTAAGATCCACCAAAAATCACAAGTGCACATATGCATAACCCAAGAATCACATGGAGCACTAAGGCAGCTGGATACAAGAAAGATGCAGCTAGGCACAGTGGTGCACACCTGTAATCCCAGAGGCTCAGGAGGCTGAAGCAGGAGGATCATGAGTTCAAAGCCAGTATCAACAAAAAAGTGAGGCACTAACCATCTCAGTAATACCCTGTCTTTAAATTAAATAAAATAAAACTAGGGTTGAGGATGTGCTCTGTGGTTGGGTGTCCCTGCCCCCGAGTTCAATCCCTGAACCCCCGCCCCCCCCAATAAAAAAAGATGCAGCTGCACGTGTACTCCAGATGGGAAGAGGGCAAAGCAAAGTCCCCCATGCAGGCAAGTACAGCATGCTGTCATTTTTATGAAGCAAAGGGGACTGCTCGTCTGCTGGAGTCTATGGAAAAGAAAACAGTCCGTGACAAACTGTTAAGGCTGGAGAGAACTGAATGGCTGAGAATCCCTCCTCCCTAGGCCCATGTGCGTTTTGAATTTTGAATGTGTCATTAAAACTAAATACCTTGCTGTGAGGTTTTGTTTTTTGCTTTTTGGTACCAGGGATTGAACTCAGGGGCACTCGACCACTGAGCCACATTCCCAGCCCTTATCTTATTTAAAGACAGGGTCTTACTGAGTTGCTTAGCGCCTTACTTTTGCTGAGGCTGGCTTTGAACTCAGGATCCTCCTGCCTCAGGCTCCTGAGTTGTGAGGATTACTGCACCCAGCTCCCATGGGATCTTAAGGAAGTGGCCTCATCTTTCTGGGCCTTACTTCCCTAACCTATGACCTGGGGAAGAGGACCAAGCCCTGGTCAGGAACATGAGTTCTACAGAGAGATGTTATATACAATAGCCTTGCCTGCACCAGGAGTTGGTGATGTGCAGTCATCCCTTTTCTCTTTCTTATGGAAGTGGGGATTCAGTTTCATCCCTTGGTGCTAATTATCTACGAACTGAAAGAGGACACCCTTCATTTTTTGCTACCCTAATATGGAAATAGGAAACAGATTCTCTAAAGGGATAAATTTACAAAACATTGACCCATAAGTATTTTGTTTAAAAATCAATATAAAAACTATACTCACAGCCAATAGCCAGGTAACGGAAAAACAGCCACCCACTGATAAGTGGCTCCTTTGGGTTCCGGGGTGGTTTATTCATGATGTCCAGGTCAGGAGGGTTGAACCCTAGTGCAGTGGCAGGCAAGCCATCGGTCACCAGGTTGACCCAGAGCAGTTGGACAGGAATTAAAGCCTCAGGAAACCCAAGGGCTGCTGTCAGGAAAATACTGTCCCCAAGGAAGAGAAGACAAAGACCTCAGTGACTTTGGGGAACTTTAAATAGCACCATCACCCCTCACCTCCTCCATGCAACCCACAACAGACAGCAGCAAGGATCACCTGCGATAAACTTAGGCAACCACAGAACATCAATGACACCCCAATTTTGTATTAAAGGTAACTTTTAGAGAAAAAAGAACTTTATCTGGACCCACCAGACAACTTCCCCTACATTCGAGGAGATGAGGTAGCGAATGAACTGCTTCATGTTGTTGTAGATGGCCCGTCCCTCTTCCACAGCAGCGACGATGGTAGAGAAGTTGTCATCCGCCAGGACCATTTCAGAGGCAGTTTTAGCCACTGCAGTGCCGGAGCCCATGGCAATGCCAATCTCAGCTTTCTTTAGAGCAGGAGCATCATTCACACCATCACCAGTCTGAAAGGGAAACCCATGGTTGGTTGGGACACCTGCTGTGTGACATTCATACCTCAGGGCAAAGGCTCACTGATCAGGTAAAAGGGACATCAGTAGGTCTCTAGGTGAAAAATTGTAGAATTCCTCTAAGTTGGTGTCGAAAACTTTACCAGAGACCTCAGAGAGAAATGAAACTATGGGAACTTGAAATTTACACCAAAACCAAAAATACAACTTATGTGGTAGTCAAGATGAATCCACATGGGTAAAATTCAAGAAAAAGGCAGATTTCTTATAAAATTCAAAACATGCAAAAACACTGAATACTCTATAGATTAATATATATATATATAGATATAGATGTATACATATATATTTTCTCATTCCCATGTCTGCTTTTCATAGTTTTACTAATCTCCAATTTCAAAATAGTAGTTACCTATTGGGGAGGGAAGAGATAATTTCAAAACCAAAATTACTGTCTTTAGAAAGTGAAGTCATAAGTCTGGCATAGTGGCACAGGCCTATAATCTCAACTACTTGGGAGGCTTAAGGTAGGAGGATGGTAAGTTCCAGGCCAGCAAGGGATGGGGTGGTATGTCAGCGGCAGCACATTTGCCTAGCATGTGTACAACCCTGGGTTCAATCCCCAGCATGTCAAAAACAAAACAAAATGGAAAGCATAGTCATTAGCAAAGCTAATTTACAGTGGGGTTATCCAATACTGGGTGACAGACCACTGGTCCATTATATCCCCCAAAAAACCATGTTTGAGTTGATAAGATGCATCTTTTTTTTTTTTTTTTTTTTGGTACTAGGGATTGAACCCAGAGACACCACTGAGCTATATCCCCAGCCCTTTCTATTTTGAGACAGGGTCTTATTAAGTTGCTTCGGGCCTCATTAAGTTGCTGAGATTGGCCTTGAACTTGGATCCTCCTACTTTAGCCTTCTCAGTCACTGGGATCACATGCACTATGCCATTACACCCATCAAGATGCAAACACTGTGGACCCTTAACTAAGACAAGGATATCACCAAACAGTCCCTCTGGTTTAAAAGGCCTTCCTGGGTTTTAAATACTCTAGGATTTTACAACTTGCCAACTACTGATGAACTGCTAGCATTTCAGAGAAATTGCCTGGAGATCAGAACAAAAGAAATTCCACATTAGGGAGCTGTGACTAAAATTTTAATAATCAAAATCAGGATCTGCAGGACTTGTTCCATGGGAAGCCTTTGTCCGTGCACACTCACTCACCATGGCTGTAATTTCATCGAAGGACTGAAGAAACTCCACAATCTTGGACTTGTGGGAAGGCTCCACTCTAGCAAAGCAGCGGGCGTTCAAGCAGGCGTCTCTTTGGGCTGGGGGGCTGAGTTCATCAAACTCCCGGCCTGTAAAAGCCTTTGCCGTCACATCCTCATCCTGGCCAAAGATGCCGATGCGGCGACAAATGGCCACAGCAGTGCCCTTGTTGTCCCCTGTGATCATGATAACACGGATTCCTGCTTGCCGGCACAGCTTCACAGAGGAGGCCACTTCAATTCTGGGGGGATCTAGCATGCCCACGCAGCCCACGAAGGTCAGATTGGTCTGAAGCAAGAGAGCCACAATGAGTTAAAACAGGAATTGTGTTGTCCACAGGCTGAACTAACTACCACTGAGCTATATCCCTAGCCTGTTATTTTCTTATGAGAGAAACAGGGGGGAAAAAAGTCACTAAACACCCTTGTTACCAAATCATTCTTTAAACTCTTTCTGAGGAGAAAAGTGGAAAAAATTCCCTCAACTTTCAATATGCAATGAATTATTTTAAAACAATCCCATTAATGTTTTTTAAAGTTTATGTGAATTTAAAAAGTAAATTTATAAGCTTATTTAAGCTCATCTTGATTATTCCACCTTGAAAGCAACAGACTTTTATTTAATTGCTAACTACCTATTTTCAGAGCAACAACTTAAATCATTAAGGGGGTGACGTGTGTGGCCTGTGGAAAAACCAACTGCCACACCCTGTCCCTGGTGAGATCACCCAACCTCCTACTGGAAACAGCAGAGTCTGGACACATGCCCTGCAGGTGTGGGAGGAGACCATCAGCTACCTCATACTTAATGAAGTTGGCAGAGTCCTCCAAGTGCATCTCTTCTCTTCGCAGAGGGTTGTCATGAGTGGCCAGGGCCAGGCACCGCAGAGTGTCGCTGCCACTTCCCCACTCCCGAATGACAGACATGATCTTCTGTTTGACTCCAGGGGTCATGGGAACCTTCGTACTCCCAACTCGAATGTGGGTGCACCTGTCAATGACACCTTCAGGAGCACCCTGGAGATGTTAACAGATTTACATCAACAGTTTCACTTGCTGGCTCTCCAGGATCTTTACTCTGAAAAGAATACGTCAACTATAACCTTTATACTTGCCTTCACAAACATCTTGCTCATGGATGTCCGGCTTGGTTTGTTTGGTGTACAATAGACCGACATTGATTTTCTATCGCGTGAAAACTCGAGAGTGAATTCCTTTTTCATCAGCTGTTTAATGACCTATAAGGAGAACAGAGACTGCTGATGATGACCATCTCTGCCCAGCTTCAACCTGCAACAACAAAATGCCAGGGGATGGCACTGAATAGATTTAACCCTGCCCCCTAATCTGGGAGGTAGTAAATTTTAATTTTACATTCTAGTGCTACGCTGGAAAAAAAATTAAGACAAGAGAAGGGGATAGAAAATTGTTTCTAGAAGTTCTAGAAGGTGGCAATGGGAGCAAACCCCAAAAACAGTCCCAGTGTAAGCCAGGTGGTGGCAATGGCGAAGCTCCATTACACAACATGCAGCCTGGTGTGTTCTGAAGGCCAGTGCGGCTGCAACATAAGGAAGGACTGATGGAGACAGCTCAGATCGGAGTCCCTGCAGATCCTTTAGTGCAATGACATGACTAGGCAATGCACTGGAGGCAGAGGCAGGTCTGCCCACCATGCTCTGCAGCGATGGCAATGCTGCGGCACCTCAACAAACTATTATTAGCCTTATGCATTCTAAATAGCGTTAGGCAGCTGACAGCCACAATGAGACTTTAGCACATCGATAGTATTTAAACTTATAAGACCAGAGGTGGGGCCTCCTACTCCTGGTGGGACATGGAAGACAGCCAGAGCCGGTGGGAGGGAGGAGCCTGGAGTCCTGAGGGCCAAGTAGAGTATTGTTTTAAGGAGGGAGGAAGCCACAATGCCAACTGGTCAGCTTTAGACAGGACTGAGGACCTTGAGCTCTACACTCTTAGCTGCAAATACATATTTCTGCTTTTCTGATTTTTTTCTCGTCTGTTGCGTAGTCTACGACAGCCTGAATAGAGATCCTCAGTGGCTCTGTTGCCACTGAGCACACCAGCACAGGCTCTGCCTGAACACCCGACTCCTGAAGACATGCCCAACTGAACTGATGAGAGACGAAATTTTATCAAGTGTTTTTTTTTTTTAAATCAAGTGCTTTTTTTTTTTTTTTTCATCCAAGGAGATTTTGGCCTTCCACCATTTTTTGGTTATATGATGAATTATATGGCCTCCCCGCCTATCAGATACACACTTATTAATTATGGAAATCCCCAAGAACCTCAGCATCTCATCTAGGAAGCTGCCCCACAACCAGAGTGTTGAGCTGGCCTGGGCTAGGAGTGTCAAGATCACCCTACCAGCCATTGAGCTGCCGTAAGTGGCAAAGGGAAAGGTGTAAGCACTGAATCCTACACCTGGATCCTGTGTACGTTGTGTGCTTTAAGCATTTATATCAACAATGGCTCTAGAAACATGCCGTGACTCTGAGCAAGTGGTGGATCCACACACGGAAAAGGTCCTGGTAGAGGAATAAAGACCAAAGTGAATTCTTGCAGTGTGGAGCTGGTCAAGGGTGGTAGCCCTAGCCAAGCGGGCAAACAGCTGGCCTTGGTCTCTTAATTGACAGGCTCTTCTCTGAGTTGGGAAGGGGAACATGAGGACTTTGCAGCAAGTGAGCAGCACCATGATCACTTCTGGTCCCTTTGCCAAGCTGTTCCACCTGGCAGATGATTAAAGGGGCAGTCCTGCTTGTACTTGTGCCGGTCACCCTGGTGGCTAAGGTACCACTTTTCAGTTCCATGGTGCCACTTGCTTCTCCTTACTGAGCAGGTGTAGTGACTAGAGTCAAATAGCTGTAAACCTGCATGTGAAGCCAAGTTTTTGGGTGGCCTCTGATAGTTGTAGCAATACCACTCTCATGTCTGGCTTTGAAAGGACTTGCCTGCTTGCTTACCAGCTGCCAAGCAGTGGTTTTAACTGAGGTCTGAGATTGGACAGTCCCAGTTTCACACCAGCCACACAAGCAGGGAAAGGATGCTGCGGAGCTGCCCCAGGCCTTCACAGCTATGAGGATATTTGTCACTCAAGTACTTGCCAACTGAGACAGACACTACACTTCAGCAGAGACAGCTTAATTCTGGGGAGGCAGCAAAATGATGCAAAGGAAAAACGGGTGCTGGGGTGGGAGGCCACCAGGCAGGCAGGCTGTGTCACCTGCCTGCAGGGGGTCAGACTGTTCTTCAATGCCTCAGACTCTATGTGGTCACTGAAATGCTTTTGTGAAATCCTTGGAGAACAGGTGGATCCCTCAGGGTGCTGTTGCCCTAGTATTCCCTAACACACTGCATTTTGATTGATCTGGTTTGCTAGGAATAAAAGGGTGACTTGCAAAAGCTTAATAAATGTACCCATAACTGACCATTTAGTAGAAGCGAGTCTTTCCTTTATACAGCTTGCTTTCTAAAGAAAGAAAAGAAAAGCAAGCAAGCAAGCAGGCAGGCTTTTTACCTCTCTCTACCAGGGAACCAAATTCTACCAGGGAACCCTACAGACCAAAGTTCTACAAAGGTCTCAAGTACCAATCAGCAGCCAGCCACCTGGTGATGACAAGCCTGACATCTAGGAGAGGTGTACCTGACCAGGCAAGGTGGTATACACCTATAATCCCAACTATTCAAAAGGCCACTTGAGCTCAAGAGTTAAAGATTAGCCTAGGCAACATAGTGAGATCTTGTTTGTCCCCAAAAGAGAAACTTCTAGCAGAGCCCGATTACACAGGAATCCAACTGCAGGCAGAAGACAGCGGTTACACAGGACTAGTTCTTTGCTGGCCATTGGGCTGGAGGACCCAAAGGAGGATCTATCTCATGCCTGTGCAGGGTCTGGAAAGCAGGTAGCTGGTTTCCACACTGGTACAGGGAGCAAGGCGCTGGGGTTAACCACAGCTCTGCTACTTAAGCAACTGGTCTCTCAGAGAAACAGCTGCAGTACAGCCTGGGACTGGGTGTTGGCTTACTGGGATGGGAATCAAATGCAACTGGGCCTGACTTCTATCCTGAAGTTTCTGCTGTTCCTGCTGGAGGCTCTCCCTTCTCCAATACACACCCCCCTGGCTTCTGCCGTTGCCATTCCTCAGTCTCCTCAGCTTGCTCTTGGCCTCATGCTGCTGCTCTACCACCACACAACATGGTGTTCTCAACCCATCAGCACAGCTTCCATTACTACTGCAGCTTGTCTATACGCTGACTCTCATCCAAGCAGTTATCCATCACATCAGTCAGGATGGGACAGAAGGGGATGTCCTTTACATCTAGTCCCTTCTGGATCTTGGTCTGAGCAGTGACATGCAGAATGACCAGTCTGGGGCTGAGGAGATCCTAGTGCTGGTAGCCACTGCAGACTATTTTTACTTAAGTCTAGCCTCACTAAATTTGTGAGACCACAGAAACTTAAGAACAGTACTACAACAGAAGAGATTAGCATGGCACCCTGGGGCAGCAGCTCCTGACTAGGACCCTTATGAGGCTCAGTTCCAGTCACTGTAGGTCTCCATCCTTGCTACTGGCCTTGGCCATGATAATGCTGGCTGAATGAGGCCTGCTTAAAGACAGAAGGACAGGACCTGGGAGGCCACTCCTTTGTTCACCACTCAAGAATGCCCATGTTCTCTACCACTCCAACAGATCTCTAACAGAATTATGCTGACATCATCAAGTGAGTCAATAAATATTTTCTTCCCTTCCCCTTATTGAAGTCTATGTAAAACTTGTATTATTTCTTCCTTAAATGTTTTTTTAAATGTATTTTTATTTTTTAAAAAATATTTATTTAGTTGTAGATAAACACAGTATCTTTATTTATTTTTATGTGGTGCTGAGGATCAAACCTAGTGCCCCACATATGCAAGGCAAGCGCTTTACCACTGAACTACAGCCCCAGCCCCTTAAATGTATTTTTAGTTGTTGATGGACCTTTATATTTTTTAATTTATTTTTATGTGGTGCTGAGAATTGAACCTAGTGCAAGCACTCTACCAATGAGCCATGACCCAGCCCTTCCTTAAATGTTTAACAGAATTGGGCATACTGTGTTTATTGTGGAGGCAGATTTTAAATTACAGCTTCTTTTAAACCATCACTGAAATTTTCTTGTGTCCACTTAAGAAGTTGTGTCCCTGAAGGGCTGGGTGAATTTCTTCTGTTGAATACCCCCCATCAGTGTTGAGGACTGAACCTGGGAGCACCCTTCCACTGAGCCGCATCCCAACCTCTAATAAACTTATTGATGAAGTTAATAATTCACTTTTTTTGGGTGCTGAGGATTGAACCAGGGCCTTGTATAATCTAAAGTACACTGTCTACCAAACTAAGCTATATCCTAGCCCTGTTAACTGGTTGCTTTCTTTTTTGGACTAGAGACTGAGCTCCATCGCCACCCTATTTTTATTTTGAGACAGGGTCTCTCTAAGCTCTGAGGCTAGCCTCAAATTTGGGATCCTCTTGGCTCAACATCCTGAGTTGCTGAGATTACAGGCATGCATCACCATGCTCAGCTCCCACAAATGATTTTTGACTTTATTATTTTACTTTTTTTCCACCCAGTTGCAGATAAATAAAGATATTGAGTCCATCTATTTTTAATATGTATTTTCTAGTTGTTGATGGACCTTTATTTTATTCACTTGTTTATATGTGGTGCTGAGAATAGAACCCAGTGCCTCACACGTGCAAGACAAGTGCTCTACCACTGAGCTGCAGCCCCAGTGGTAGCTCAGTGCTAGATACTTTTACTTTCTTAAGATAGAAGATTTTTAGGGGCTGGGGTTGTAGCTCAGTCATGAATGCTCGCCTGGTATGTGAGAGGCACTGGGTTCGATCCTCAGCACCACATAAAAATAAATAAATAAGGTTGAGGTATTAAAAAATGTTTTAAAAAGTTTTATCACTGATTTTTAACATTTCTTTTCTAAACTAAGGATTTAATAAATTTCCCTTGAACAATGCTTTAGAATCATATGGTGTTATGGATATTTAGTTCAAAACATTCTACCTAGATTTTAGGTAGGTTGGTGGCACACAATTGCAATCCAGCTGCTCAGGAGACTAACAAAAGAGGATTTCAACCTCAAGGCCAGCCAGCGAAACTCAGAGAGAAACTGTCTCAAAATTAAAAACAAAATGGGCCAAGAATGTAGCTCAGTAGTACAATGTCTCTGGGTTCAATCCGCTGTACTGATAACAATAAAATCCCCTCTAATTTCCACTATGGCTTTTCTTTTTTGACCCATTCCTTGGGAATTTGCTGAGTCTTGCTTCATTCTATGGACCAGCAGTACCATCTACTCAGGTGAATGATCCATGTGCATTTGAGAAGCATAAGTAGCAGCATAACAGAAATACAGATTTGGTAGCATCTACTATTGTTCAAATCTCTTGCATTACTACTGTTATTTCCATTTGCTTATTATTAAACTGATCAGTAAGATAATTGCATTAAAACCTCCAATTCTTATTGTAGACTTTTTTTTTTTTGGGGGGGGGGGGGCGGTGGCCAGGCTGCTGTTACTGAGGATTGAACTCAGGGGCAACTCAACCACTGAGCCACACCCCCAGCCCTATTTCATATTTTAGAGACAGGGTCTTGCTGAGTTGCTTAGCGGCTTGCTTTTGTTGAGGCTGGTTTTGAACTCACACTCCAGCTGCCTCAGTCTCCTGAGCCACTGTAGACTTCTGTTTCACTTCACACTTTCACAAATCCTTGCTTCATGTGCTTTACATAAATAATGTAACCACTGGATTTAGCACAATATCATAGGTAACTGACAGTTGTTTTTTTTTTTTACGATACCGATGTGGGGTGTGGGGGGGTGTGGCAGGGAAACAGCGGGGATTGAACCCGGGGCCATTCTACCACTGAGCTACATCCCCAGTCCTTTTTATTTTTTGAGACAGGGTCTCCCTAAATTTGCCTAGGCTGACCTCAAAACCTGTGATCTTCCTGCCTCAGCCTCCCAGGTTACTGGGATTATAGGCTTGCGCCAGTACATCCAGCTAGATGTTTATGTGCTAGTGGAGACAAGAGCTTGTTTAAAGTGGACTCAAGAAAACAGAATGACACAGAATTAGTACATAAAAACAGCTCTTCCTCAAGAAGTTCTACTGTGCAAGAAAAGAAAATGGGATGCTGATGGGAAAATAAGGTTAAAGGAAAGTTCTAAGATAAAAACATTCTATTATTTTCCCCTTGCTAAAGATGATCATCTAAGAGCTGGATACTGAAACAAGAGAGATGGTAGGAGGCTTTTGCTGGAAGCAAAGATAGCCCATTCACAGCACCGTGGGAGAAGGCATCTCATGAACACAGAAGATTGCCCCTGGTTATCTACTGATTGCTTTTATTTTCTTGGTCCAATGGATAACAAAATTGTTTTACCTGATCAAACATAGGGACAGAAAAGTTGCATATTTGAAGAAAGAAGGTATAATGAGTTGTTCAAGAGAGCGAATGAACTAAGTATATACGGTACTGATGGCCAAATACTAACCGAGTTGCAGGCATTTGCACGTTCTATTTTAGAAAGACCCTTCAATTCAGTATCAAATACATTCATCTTCTCTACCAGGCAAGTGAGAGCAGTCTCCGTAGCTTCTCCAACTTTTTCGTACACACCTTTTGCCTGTAATGATTAAGAACACAGAAAGTGAAAAGGGAGAAGCAGCAAACAGGTAAATTTCTCTTTCGTATTCTGAACAGCAAACATTTGTCTCTGATGGAGTGCCCTGCCTTTGAGATAAAAAGCAAAGGATTTACCTTACTATATGATAAAAAAGTTTTTCTGTTGGCTAAATCAAGGACATATGTTTATCTATCTTAAGCAAAATCAATACACCAGGCTCTCAGGAAAAATTCTTTCTAACCTGGGTTTTATTCATTTACAATAACTGGTGTCAACAGCCAAGATCATCACACACACCACAATTCTTAGTCAAGGAACTGCAATACTCAATCATAAGACTCTAGGAAAAGATGCTCAGCTTTTTTTTTTTTTTTTGGCTGGTCATGCCTGACAAACAGGCTCTTGAATGGAAAGGGGAAATAAATAAAGCCTTCAAAAGGGAGGAAGGCTGGATTTTCATTCTACCCACCCACAAGGAAACTCCAGGTTCTAGTTTCTCACTAAGATTCTTACCTCATTATAATCCAAAGCAGAGTCATTACAAAGAGCACAAATTGTTGCTAATTCTACAAGGCCATCATATTGATGACATTTCACTGGTTTATCATCTTTATGCCTAAAAAACAAGAAAATACTCTTGGATCAGTGTCATCTCTGCTGATACCCCTCCCCAAAATTAATAATGAAAAATAGAATTTCTGAGACCACAGACTTGAATGCATTCAAAAGAATGATGGCTCTTTGAAATGTGATGCTGAAGCTGGGCACAGGCCTGCAATCCTAGTAACTCAGGAGGCTGAGGCAGGAAGATAACAAGTTCAAAGCCAGTCACAGCAACTTAGTGAGACTATGTCTCAATATAAAAAGTGAAACTGTGGATGTGGCTCAGTGGCAAAGCATTCCTGGGTTTAATCCCCAATATTACCCTCACCCCAAAAGAATGCATCTCTGTATCTCTGTTAATGGGAAATCAGTAAAAGAAATTCTTTATCAATTAAACTCCACCACTGGTATCAATGAAGAATAAAAACCCCACTTGAAATTTTGAGCTTTTAAAGGGAGCTAAATAAAGATGAAAAAGATGACTGACTTATAACTTTTGTTGTCTTTCACCAAATGTGCTATATTTTGTTTTTTGGAACACTGCCTTACACCACATTCAGAATGCCACCTCAGTTTTTTGTTTATTTTTTGTGGTGCTGGGGATTGAACTCAGCCCTATTACATGCCAGGCAAGTGCTCTACCACTTAGTTATCCCCCCAGCCCTATCTTAGCAAACCAACACAAACACCACAGTGCCAAACAGATCCTGTATGTGAAAAGCAGGATGGGTCACTCACACTTCTCCAATGGGTGCATATGTTGATCCGGTTATGGTAAACTCATTGAGCGAACAACTATCACCTTCAACTCTGTCCAGAATGAACATCTATAAGGGTAAAAAGCATAACATTATTTAACAGATACAAAAAGTCCTGCTTAAAAAATTGATCTTTGGGGGGCTGGGTTGTGGCTCAGCAGTAGAGCGCTCGTCTTGCATGCATGAGACCCTGGGTTCGATGCTCAGCACCACATAAAAAAATGAACGAGTGAAATAAAGGTATTGTGTCCAACTAAAAAAAAAAAAAAAGATCTTTGGGGGCTGGGGTTGTGGCTCAAATGTAGGGTGCTCACCTAGCAAGTGAGAGGCCCTATGTTCAACCCTCAGCACCACATAAAAATAAATAAATAAATAAAGGTATTGTGTCCAACTACAACTAAAAAACAAATTAAAAAATTTTGATCTTTGGCAGTTCAATGCAAAAACAAACAAACCAAAACCTTCTTATTTAATAATTTTAATCTACCTCATTCATCCCATCCCACTCTCACCTACCAGTCTGAGAAACAGCATCAATGAGATGCTAAATCATTAATTTGCAGCAGTGGTAACAGATACAGATGACAGACAAAAACCTAAGATAAAGACTATGGGTCAGCAAAAGGTCAATTCTACCGACTTGGGTTTTTCTTTAGAATGCTCAGAATTCCAAATTTCAACTGGCTGACTGAGAAAGTAATATTAGGTAGTCTGTATTTAGAGCAAAGCATAAAAGCTTGGAAAGAATAAACTCACATTTCAAGAGTTGCATAAACATTCCCTGAGTAAAATAAGACAAAGTGCTTCTCTGTACCTTCCCACTCACTTTATTATGGTAATAGCTCATTTTCTATGAAGGTATATAACTAGATGTATACAGTAAGGAGCCAACAGGGCTGAATGAACTGTGTCCTCTTGACAATACAGATGGAGGCTGGCTCAAGCAAAGCACTGCTCCCCCTCCCCCGTTCCCCCAATGCTCAGCATGCATACTAGGCAAGTGCTGCACAACAGAGCTCCACCCAAGGGCCAGAAAATTCTTAATATTACGGAGGAATCAAGTGACGTGAGCTACTTTCTTACATAAATTTTTTTCTTGGTTTGCTTCCAAAATATAATTCAGAAGCCCAATTTACAAGAATAAGATTTAGACTTGTAGTTTCATTACAAACTGAAACCATAAACCTTTCTAAAAAACAAACTCCCACAAACTCCAAAGAAACAAAAACACATCTCAACTATACAAAAAAGAAAAAAGATTGGTTTTTCTGAGCTGTATTCCTAGTGACACAAGAGGTTGAGGAAGGAGGATTTCAAGTTTAAGGCTTAGTTAATCCCCGTCTTTTTTTTTTTTTAAGTGGTGCTTGGGGATTGAACCTAGGACCTTGTGCATGCAAAGCAAGCACTCTATCAACTGAGCTATATCCCCAGCCCTAAACTCCGTCTAAAAATAAAAAGGGTTGGGGATGTAGCTTTGTGGAAAACACCCGTGGGTTCAATCCCCAGAACTAAAAAAGAAAGAAGATTCACATTTAATGATAAAAAAATCAGCTAATTTTTAAAATAACTTATTTTGTCCCACAAGATTTACTTCTTATACAGCAGATACTTTTAAATTCCAAAGGCAGACTCAGAAATAAAACATCACTGAAACGGAACTAAAAAGCTATGAGTAAGAAAGACATCACAAGGTGATTTAAAAATAAAAAATTTTAAAAATCCACACATAAAATGGAATTCAAAACAGTGATAACTCTAGAGCAAAGATTCTAGTTCAAATAATTTGTCACGAGTTTATAACTACTCTGTCAAAAAGATTTATAACAAGGTCAGGCATAGCATGCTGTCCCAACTCCTGCCATATTTTTTCGAACACACAGACCATCTAATAAACAAAGTTTGTCAAAAATACTTTAACAGCATCAACCCCCAACTCTATTAAAAAAATTGTTTTCCCCAATGATATTTGGCATTTTATATACCCAATTACTAAGTGGGCCAGGTTTAATTAACCCATTTTTCCTACAAGAAAATTCAACTTTGCCTTTTATTATAAAAGTTGGGTCACTCTCAGACCTGTCACTTAACTTCTCAGCCTTAGTTTTCTACTTTCTCGAGCAGGACTGTCAAACATTTAAATAATGTCACATATGAAAACAAATTAACTGCACTAAATAGAAATCAAAACAATGGGGCATCATTACTACATACTATGTTTTTTTTTTGTTGTTGTTGTTGTTGTTTTCCTTTTTATGGTGCTGGGGATGGAACCCAGGGCCTTGCGCATGCAAGGCAAGCACTCTACCAACTGATATATCCCCAGCCCTCATGCTATTTCTTAATGATACTCCATTTGAAATTCCACTTGGCATGCCTGCAATACCAACAACTCAGAAGGCTGAGGAAGGAGGATCCAAGTTCAATGCCTGCCTCAGGTACTTAAAGCAAGTTAGTAAGACCCTGTCTCAAATTTTTTTTGAAAGGGATAAGGCGGGCTCGGTGACGCAAGCCTGTAATTCCAGTAGTTCGGGAGGCTGAGGCACGAGGATCTGAGTTCAAAGCAAGCCTCAGCAAAAGCAAGGCGCTAAGTAAGACCCTGTCTCTAAATAAAATACAAAATGGGCTGGGGATGTGGCTCAGTGGTTGAGTGCCCCTGAGATCAATCCCTGGTACCCCCCCCAATAAATAAATAAGTAAATAAAATTAAAAAAGGGGTTAGGGACGGAGCTGTAGGGTGTATTGGGTGGAGGGAAGTGAAATTCCTTGGATTTATAACAGAGTATAATATATTCTAGAAGACACTCAAAATTCTAATCCACACCACCTAACTTTAGAAATGTGCTTGGGCATTCAGACTGTGACCAAGTAAACCATTTAGGATCTGCAGGGTGGAATTGTCTTAAGTCAAGGGTAGTTACATAACACCTCTGCAAACGTTGTGCAGAATACGAACTCTACATCAGGTTTCTGCTGGGAGGCAGAACACAACTCAGAAAAGACAGCCCTTTCCCTCTACTGTAAATAAAAAACAATCTGAAGAAGAATAAAAGAAGATAAGAGCAACAACAATAATAACAATAAACTAGGAAACTGAGAACAATTTCATTACATTAATTCAAATAAATTCATATACATTAGTTTCTTTCATGGATGTAACAACTATTCTGAGGAATTAAAACTTCAGGGGCTAAATTTATTTGGGGGAAACGAAATTATAAATACAATTTCCATTTCTTTGTTTCAAACAACTAGTATAACAAAACTAGCTTCTGACTAATTCTCCAACCTTTCAGTTCTAAGAAAAATGAACTAACTACACCAATCTACCGCCCCAGAGAGAACCAAGGAAAACTTAGAAGCTCTTTAAGAATCTGACCTCAATTCTAAACCTGGGTTTGGACCTCTCAAGATTGGGGGTTGGGGGTGGGACCATATCTAAAATTCACAAGGAATTCAAAATTGGCAAGATAAACATTCATAGGGCTTGATGTTAAACACACACAAAAGCAAGCCCATGTATATATGTTTCTTTCCCTTAAACTCAGAGATAAGGTCAAGAGGACAACTCTTATCTTTCAATGTCATACAAAGGCATTATGTAACAAGTCCATTCAAGTGCAGATTTGTATCCTATAAACGGTAATGTGATTTTACTTCCCTATAACACTAACCAATTCTGCAATCAAGCCTAGCAATCCATAATATTTTGTTTACTTTCTTAATTTCCTTCTTACAGCCAATTTTACAGATTTCCTGATTATTAATTAGCCCAATAAAAACTTTTAACATGCGTACAGTCTACATTTGTATGGGTCATGTGTACCTTTAGCAAAATACTCATACCAAGTTGTTTTATTTCTTCAATAAGGGCATGTTTAAGTGGTTTCTTATCTTACCCTGAATGATGATCAAACAATATAAGAAAGGAAGGATATGCCTACAAAATGAAGCAAGTCATAAAACAATTATTTACTGCTCAGGAAGAAAGCATGCTTTATTTAATGTTTTACGGAAACAGCCATTAGGACTTCAGGTAGGAGGTTAACTAATAGCTTCCTCTATATATCTGTTAATATTCAGATGCCAAGAGGCAGAGGATGGGAAATCAAAAAGTCTCCATTATCTCCATAAAAGTTAGCAGCTACTTAGACATCCCATATTTCATAAGACAGTTTCATTTCCTCCCAAGTATTTACAGATTGGGCTTAGACCTTCCACACAACCCACAGAATGGTAGAAATCAGAAAGCAAAGGTTCTGATGGCATGAGGTATATTGTCAGGATGAGCACAGAACCACTATAGGAAAGAGTCTTAAAGGACACCCTTACCCTGCAGACTGACATCTGGTTTGTTGTAAGTGTGCCAGTCTTGTCTGAGCAGATAACAGAAGTACAACCAAGAGTTTCCACAGAAGGGAGGCTTCGGACAATGGCATTCTTCTTTGCCATTCTGCGAGTTCCAAGAGCCAGGCAGGTGGTGATGACAGCAGGCAGACCTTCAGGGATGGCTGCAACAGCCAGGGCCACTGCAATCTTAAAGTAGTAGATAGCACCTCTGATCCAGGAGCCACCGTGAACTGGGTCATTAAAGTGCCCAATATTTATGATCCAGACTGCAATGCAAATAAGGGAAATGACTTTGGAAAGCTGTTCCCCAAACTCATCCAGTTTCTGCTGAAGGGGTGTTCTCTCCTGTTCTGTTGCAACCATTTCATCCCGGATTTTGCCGATTTCAGTGTTGACTCCAGTTGCCACCACCACTCCCATGGCTTTCCCAGCAGCAATGTTTGTACCCTAGGGAGAAGTAGAGAACTGGTCACATTCCAAATTAAATACTGATCAGTTAACCTAGACCCTGGATTTTGACCATGACCCCCAGATTCTCTCACCATGTTCTACTAGGCCTTCTCAACTGTGAGTGAGCAATGCCTCTTGAAGGCACCAAGGTACTTGCCCAAACCTGGCCTGGATTCCAGGCAGTGCCTACTTAACCCAGAGCAGCAATGTGCTGACCCACTGGATCTCTGTTCACAAGATGCAGCCTAGTTTGCAGGCCTTGGGCTTGGCAGCACTCCAACCATTCCGTGTTCCCAGGTTCTCAAACTCCACAACTCTTAACTCTATGCTTTCTTCATTTCCAGCTCCAACAGCTCAGACTCTCCTACTTTTGTCAGCTATGATAAGAAGGGCAACCAGCCCCACAGGCTATCTGGAGAAGCTGTACTTAAGCACCAGAATTCAAAAGTCAACAAATTCAAGTGTCAGTGTCCTCTCCCTATTTCACTTTAATTCCTAGCATTGAAATGATATGGCTTACTTTGACTATAATTCATTATTTTTACTTACATTGGCTAAACTCTTATTAACACATAAAATTCCATCATTTGAAATATCACTCTAGATTCCACAACCAAAATTCCCGCATTTCTATGGTATTTAAGAATTAAATAGTACAATTAACATTCACCTACCTGTCACCTAGACTGAAAGGTTTGCCTGTTTGTACTTTCTGCAAACACACACCTTTTCTTTGTGAGCCAGAAAGAACAGCAGCAGCAACAGCACCTACACCATTCTGAAAACACTCTCTGCAGGCTAAGGCTTCTCCAAACAAACCTATTTTTTCAATGATGTTTATAGAATTTCACCATGTTTGACCTAATCTTTTTTTTCTTCCCTCAAAACTTGCCAATCAAAACAAAAGACAGCATTCCACAACTGGGTTATCGTTGGATTTTTTTTTTTCTTTTTTTTGGTGATAGATTGAAGTCAGGGCCTCTCACATGCAAAGCATGTGCTCTACCACTGACTACACCCAGAGCACTATTATTGATGTTTTCTGACAGCTGAGACTAACCATAAGAGTGTAATTATCCTTTGGAATAATACCCAATATTTTCTAAAGCCATTGAAGGCAGCCAGTGAAAAACAACATCCATGGATCTTTAAAAGTCCAGGTATGTCTCCAGGTAAAAATATATTTGAGCCAGATGTTGTGGTGCATACCTATAATCCCAGCAGCTAGGGAAGCTGAGGCAGGAGACTGTAAGTTGGAGGCCAGCCTGGACAGTTTAGTGAGGCCCTAAGCAACTCAATGAGACCCTGTGTCAAAGGAAAAATGGCTAGGGATGTGGCTCAGTGACTCAATCCCCAGTACATAAAATAAAATAAAATAAAAAACAGAGGGAAAAGATGTAGCTCAGTGGCACAGTGGGTGCTCAGCATGTGTGAGGCCATGGTTTCAATCTGCAGCACCACCAACTCTCCCCACCTCCCCGGAGGAATATGATAGGGTACTCACAGAAAACAGCATATTCTTTTTATCTTGGTTGACAGCCCGTGGGTCAGGGACAGGGTCGGTGTGCTTAATAACTGAAACAGACTCACCTAAGCAGGTTGTGAGACAGAAGATACAGTTAGATCTGGCACCCCCAGAACCCGGGAACCCTCATCCATGCCAACCCATTACCATTTTAGGGATATTATCAACTTGGGAAAAAGAACATAAGGTCCAATCCACTAAAAAGGGGAAAACTACGATAATTTAGAAATGGAAATTCCAGAATAAAGAATGTGAAGATAAAGTAATTTTAATTTCAAAATAAATGAGCTAAATTTTGAAATAAAATCCCAATCATTTATTTTCTGGAATAACTAGTGGAATTAATTTACTACCCTATACACTATTATGAATCTGACAAAAGATATGGTTCCTCATTTGGCCTAATCCTATAGTATTACAGATTATTTAACAAGACACTCTGAAGCATTTTAAAACAGCAACTGTTAAGGGAGACCCACCCTGAGAATTTCATGCCTTCAACCCAATCATTTCCTTAACATTTTATGGCTTAAATGGCTTGCAGCTTGTTGCTGCTAATGGGAGTTTAGATAAGCTATTCATGTAACAAAACAATTAAAATTAGGAGCCTAGGTTACTCATTCATGGTATCTATGACATTAGTTACTTTTAAAAACTGATAATCAGATAACTCTTGGTAGCCTTTAGATTTTATATTTACTAGCTATTTAATTCAGGTTAGCATTGTTTTCAGAGTTAATCTTCTGACAACCTTACTTCCAGTTAATTGGAACCCTCCACCCTAAATTGTGCCTTTATCACACAAAGAAAGGAAAATGTTAAAAAAAAAAAAAAAAAAAAAATCACAAACCTAGGAATGCAAACTCCAGGTAGCTAAACAGTTGCCTTTTTTGGCTCACAGTTATTAATTGTACCTTTGCTTATTGCAAAGTATGTAGATGCAAGATTAGTACTCCTCCAACAGGAAAAAACATCTCAGCACTGAATCAGTCACTTTCCACAAAATAGGGAAACTTCAAAATCTCAGATTATTACTCTCAATTAATGAGGAATTTGTAACCTTTTTTTAAAAAGTAAAACTGATTTTATTTTAAAACCAAAACTTTTTTTTTTTAAAATAGCCGGGCACACCTGTAATCCCGAAGCTCAGAAGGCTGAGACAGGAGGATGGAGAGTTCAAAACCAGCCTGAGTAACAGCGAGGTGCTAAGCAACTGTGAAATCCTGTCTCTAAATAAAATACAAAATAGGGCTGGGGATGTGGCTCAGTGGTCAAATGCCCCTGAGTTCAATCCCTGGTCCCGCAGCAACCCCCGCAAAAAAAAAAAAAAAAAAAGTCAAAGCCCTAAGAAAACAAATATCGAAGAAGAGAGAATTAGGGTGAAATATCATAAGGCACAGTGGGCAAGAGCTAACTCTATTAGCATGGGAAATGAGAGGATTGAGCAATGTCAGTGACTTTCCAATATGCTAATACTTACCAGTGAGAATCGACTGGTCAACTCTCAAAGTTGTCGATTTGATGGAAGTCAATCTTATATCAGCAGGAACTTTGTCACCAACTAAGGGAAGGAAGAGATAAAGTGAGCAAGTTTTGCCACAGTTATAATTATAACCATATTATAATTTTACTTCAAATCAAACATAATTCTTAAAGAAAATAGTCTATATACAGTACAAAATACAAAAGTCATTAAAACAATCAAATGATCAACCTATCTCAAGTTCATAAAAACCGTGATAGTAGCACTCTGAGGCTGTGGCAGAGTGCTAAGGCCAGCCTGGGCAACTTAGCAAGACCCTGTCTTAAAATAAATAAGGGCTGGGGATGCAGCTTAGTGGTAGAATATTCCTAGATGAGGATCGCAAGTTCACAGAAACTTGAGAGGAGCTAGGGAACTCAGTAAGACCTAGTTCCCCACCCCACCCCCAATCAATCAATTTATCTCCAGTTAAAAAAAAAAAAAAGTTTGGCTACATACATGCTCATATAGGCTACCAAGCTTTCACTGTGTAATATAAGTAAGGTATTTTCTTAGGCTTCCTATATCTTGTGATTCAGTTCATCAGAACAGTTACATTATTATGAACAGGAAACAGATGGTTTTCCAAAAAGATGCTCAATTAACCTCACATAAGATAATTCAAAAATAAATTTGGAGCCGGGCATGGTGGTGCATGCCTATAATTCTAGCAGCTTGGGAAGCTGAGGCAGGAGGATTGTGAGTTCAAAGCCAGCCTCTGCAAAGGTGAAGCACTAGGCAACTCAGCAAGACCCTGTCTCTAAATAGAACACAAAATAGGGCTGGGGATGTAACTCAGTGGTGGAGTGTCCCTGAGTTCAATCCTCAGTACAAAAAAAAAAAAAGTACAGGGCTGGGGCTGTAGCTCAGCAGTAGAGAGCTTGCCTAACATGTGTGAAGCACTGGGTTCAATCCTTAGCACCACATAAATATAAACAAATAAAATAAAGGCATCCTATCCATCTACAACTACAAAAAAAATTTTTTTAAAAATCTGTAGACACTACTTTTTAACTATGAATCTAATAAACAAAAACTGTTAATGTGGGAAACACTCATGTAATATCAACAGGCACATCTGGTATTTACAACTCCCTTCCAGACTTTGTGATCACCCTGTATGTGTGCTACTGGTCAAAGAGGAAGGCTGCAAAATTTGGCAGGCAAACTGGCAATATATATCCAAACTGCAAAGCACAACATTTTTACCCCATAACTCCATCCCTCTCCCATACCGGGGATTAAACCCAGGTGAAGCCACCAGAGCCATATCCCCAGTCCTTTTTTCTATTTCGAGACAGGGTAGTCCTCCTCTTTAGCTTCCTGAGTGGCTGGGATTATAGGCATGCATTACCATACCCCTTTTACCCCAGTTCTCCTACAGGAATTTACCCTATTGACACTGCTCACAGAGCACGTGTTTAATTCACAGCAGTCTTTTGGTAATAGACTCTGCTAACAATAATGTGAAAACTACCTCTAAGACACACTGCACACTGAGTATATTTTAGATGTGAGTGATGTATATGGGGCTGCCAGTGGCATAAGAAAATACCTCTGGGAAGGTGTTGACAAACTGGAAACACTGGGGCATGGGTGGAAGGAGACTTTCTCACCTTATTTGCTCTGGTACCTTTTGAAAAGTGTATTATCACAAATTAATAAAACTTTTGCATAACTTGAAAAAGATCTTTTAGTCAACTGAACTTTCTTTCCTGGGCTAAAGAATTCCTTTAATAACTCTTTAAAGGGACCATATCTTAATCCCTGGAGGTTGGAGCATCTCAAGTTCCAGGCCAACTTCAGCAACTGGGCAAGATTTTCTCTCAAAATAAAAAATAAGGGCTGGGATGCAGCCTGGGTTCCATCCCTAGCATGTTGGCGGAGGTGGGTAGTGGAATGTAGGGGGCTGGGAGTGCAGCTCAGTGGTAGAGTGGCACAGGCCCTAGGTACTAGGATTCCACCCCTAGTACCATCATCCCAGAAGTGTAAAACAGCTTTCCATGACTTTCTGAAACCGGCATGGTTTTATAAGTATTAATGTAAAAACCAAAAATTAAAATTTCATTTGTAATTCTAGGGAGATTTATTCTAAAGTCAAAACTTCATTTTTCTAGACTTATTCTATATATTGAATTATTATTGTCACTGGTTATATGTAACGTAACAAAATAGTCATCCTGTTTAAGAAATAAATTTTGAAGAGAAAAAAAGGTAAACACTGGACTTGTTAAATCTACAATTTAGTTTCAAATTTACACTTCAGAGTTTTTAAGAATATGATTTGCTTTTTTACCTTTAGTGCATGAAACAACCTTGCAGTAGGCAATGTGATCGCAAAATGGCACAGAAAGAGTAATACATAATCTCAAGAGGCAAAGATCATCCTAGCATTTGACTGCAGGGGACACATACGTTGAGGTGAAATTCCTGCTGGAAATGCTTATGCAATGAAGAGCAATATTCCAAATGAATAAACCAGAACCTTTCATTTTAGAAAATTTAAAATTCTGTGCATGCTATGATGAAGGGTACACATCTAATGGATAAAGAAATAGCTAGCACAGATGAGGTCCTGGGTTCCATGCCCAGCACCAAAACAAAGCAACTGACACAGGAGAAACTGTGCTCTTCTCAAGCCAAAAAAAATTCCACATATAATCCTTAGTTCAGGCTCTCATATACATGACACAATTTTTAATGTACTTTTTTAAAATTATTTTTTGGTGGATACAATATCTTTATTTTATTTTTAGGTGGTGCTGGATTGAACCCAGTGCACCTCATGCATGCTAGGCGAGCACTCTACCACTGAGCCTCAACCCCAGCCCCTGACTCATTTAAGACCAGCAAAGCTAGTATGCAAATTAGGGGCCAACTATAAAAGGATGCAAAAGCAAATGCTGGGCTTGTTCTGCTGAATTTCAGTATAAGAGCAGAGTTGTGTTTTTTTTTTTTTTTTTGGTGTGTGTGTGTGTGTGTGTGTTGCTAAGGATTGAATCCAAGGCCTAGTGCATGCAAGGCAAGCACTCTACCAACTGAGCTGTGTCCCTACCCCTAAGAGCAGAGGTTTAGACAAATAGAAAACATTTTTTTTTTTTTGAGGCAATAAATACCAAAGTTAATTTCCAGGGTAATACATATAGTCATATTATCTATTAGGGTGGGACCAATACCACATTTGCTGCATGAAAAATACTTATATTGATGTTATAAATTAACCATCTAGTCTTCCTCTAAAGGTTGGGTTAAATATATAAACAGTGTCTTTCTTTGCTGTATACAAAGTTATATTGTACACATTTAACTTTGACCCAATATTGAGAAATGAATGCCTCAAATGTTGAAAGAACAGACAATGGGGAAAACCCTTAAAAATTGCCTTCAATTCTTCTCAACCTTTTTTCCATCTCACAACTGCCATTCTAATTAGAATGGCAATTAAGATGGGCATGGCAAGGGCCTGTAATCCCAGCTATTTAGGAGGCTGAAGTAGGGCTAAAGTTCCAGACTAGCCTAAGCAATTTAGGAAAACCCTGACTCCAAAAAAAAAAAAAAAAAAAAAAAGCAGGGGATGTGGTATGGTTCAGTGATAAAGTGCCCCTGGGCTAAATCCCCAGTACCCATGCACAAAAGGCAATTAAAATTTAGTGACTGAAAGTCGATGGGGGACTCAGCAGCACACACCTGAAATCCAGTACTCAGGAACCTAAGGTAGAAGATTTTTTAAGTTGTAGATGAACATAATACCTTTATTTATTAATCATATGTGGTGCTGAGAACTGCCTCACACATGCCAGGCAAGTGCTCTACCACTGAGCCACAACCCCAGCCCTCCCAGGCAGAATGATCTTAAATTGGAGGTCAGCCCTGTCAAATTAACAAAATTCTCTTAAAGGGGGGGAGGACTGGGGTTGTGGTTCTGCAGTATCTCCAGTCCTATGACTCACACACCCCCACCCCCGCAAAAAAATTTTGAGGCAGGGTTTTGCCAAATAGCTAAGTTGCTTAGGGCCTCCCTAAATTGCCGGTGCTGGCTTTGAACTCACAATCCTCATGCCTCAGTCTCTGGACTGCTGGGATTACAGGTGTGCACCACCACACCTGGCTAGGACTCCCTTTTCAATGCATTTGGAGTAGGACCTAGGACTTCACACATTTTAAATTTTTCCAAAAATCACTAAAAAAATTAACACAAGGGAAAAGCGCACAACCATAGGATCAGAGATGTGTGAAGGGCTTGTTTAGAACAGCCTCTACTGTATGCTGCTTCCACTGTACTAGGACATTAGCTCTACTCTTAGAATATCTGACTTCTCAGCATTTGAGAAACTACTACTTAAAAATTATAGATTGCTATTTCCATTAGAAGCTGACCTCTTTGTAGAAAGGTGCCAAAGCAGCATGAACCTAGTTTTTTTAAAATATATTTTTATCTGTAGATGAACACAATATCTTTTTTTTTTTTTTTTAAAGAGAGAGAGAGAGAGAGAGAGAGAGAGAGAGAGAGAGAGAATTTTTTTAATATTTATTTTTTAGTTCTTGGCGGACACAACATCGTTGTATGTGGTGCTAAGGATAGAACCCGGGCCGCACACATGCCAGGCGAGCACGCTACCACTTGAGCCACATCCCCAGCCCCACAATATCTTTATTTTATTTATTTTATGCAGCGCTGAGAATTGAACCCAATGCCTCACACATGCTAGGCAAGCGCTCTGCCACTGAGCCACCCCCTAAACAGGTTTTTCAATCTTCTTGCTCAACTAATCCAACACTTCAGTTAACTGTGCTGTGGGGCTCTGCTTCACTCTTTCTGTTGGTAAGTCTATTTAGAATGGTCTGACCATTAGGAAGCAGGTTTTCTTAAGGAGTTAAAAGATCTAGGAAGGACCCATGAAATTACTTTTCAAAGACAACAATTTCCTTTTGTTCTGTGAATTATAGACAGAGGGTTTGTGCCTGAGGAGCAGGCAGTATTGTTCTGATGATCACATCCAGTAATATTTCCCTGATGGGGCATGTCAATGCCCTCAGGG